GTGTATCAGGAGCAGGGGCAGCTTCCTCGCGTCCTTTCTTTCTCTCTTTCCTCAGGCAGGGGCACAGGTATGGAGCTGGTGGGCCGGCTTTGATCATGAGATACTAGGACAGTGGTTCCCACCCTTCCTAATGCAGCGACCCTTTAATACAGTTCCTCATGTTGTGGTGACCCCCAACCATAAAATTATTTTCGTTGCTACGTCATAACTGTAATTTTGCTACTGTTATGAATCGTAATGTAGATATCTGATATGCAGGATGTATTTTCATTGTTACAAATTGAACATAATTAAAGCATAGTGATTAATCACAAAAACAATATGTAATTATATATGTGTTTTCCGATGGTCTTAGGTGACCCCTGTGAAAGGGTCGTTCGACCCCCAAAGGGGTCGTGACCCAGAGGTTGAGAACCGCTGTACTAAGAGGTGGCAGCACAACTTCATGAGCAGAGAGACTACTTCTGTTTTGCTATGACAAAGAGAAAAATAATGTCTGTCTGTTTGAACCACTGTATTTTAGTGGTTCTTTGTCCTAGCCACTTGATTGTGCCCTAACTTATTTGGAAACTGGTGCTAGAACTAGTGTGCTATCATACAAAAGCTGAAAATACATGGTATTGGCTAATTGCTTGTGAATATGGAATAAGAAAATAAATTCTGCAGGCTGGAAATCTGATGACCCTTGTTATGCCATGGCAAAATATTTGGCCAAGTTCTCTTACCTTAGCTATGGAGCCCATCATTCAGAATATTAGGTATATGTTAGCTGCTTCTTTATTTAGCAAGATACCTTGAGAGAGATGAAAGGCCTAAATTAGCCAGTTAGCAAACATAAATGTTTAAACATTGTAGTTCGGCTCTGTCAGGACCTGTAATCTAAATGGACTGAGAGGCTAGTGATAGAGGGCTTAACCAAGCTAGAAAAACCAATGGTAATGTTAATGCAAAGAGCAAGAGATAACATTGTCTCAGAAATTGTAACAGGGTCTTCCATTAAATGTTCTTCCTCAGAAAATAGGAATCAAGACAATTGCAAAGGTCATTTAATTCAGGGGTGGGGAACCTTTTTTTTCTGCCAAAGGCCATTTGGATATTTATAACATCACTCGAGGGCCTTACAAAATTATCAATTTAAAAATTAGCCTGCTATAGTTGTTCAAACACTTAATTAACTCACCCCTAATGCCTTGGCAGGGCCAGACCAAATGAATCTGCAGGCCTTATATGGCCCGTGGGCCTGACGTTCCCCATCCCTGATTTAATTGAAGGAGAGAGGGACAAGCCAAGCACAGAAGCCAGTAAATAAGAGAATCAGCAGACAGAAGTATGACCACCCAAGGCCTTTGCTAAGGTCACTTTCACATAGAACAAACTAGAAGCAAATAGACTGGAAGCCTTTAGTAAGACTGTTTCAAGCATTTGTAATACAGTTGAATTTATATGTAACATTCTGCATTCCATCCTTGAATCCCCTGCCCCTGACCATCTAAATGAGATTTTTAAAATTTGCATATATCAAGGTTCCCTCTTTGTACTGTAAAGTTTGATGGGTTTTGACAAATTCAAAGTGTTATCTATTCACCATTATGGTACCATACAGAATAGTTCAATTGTGCTAAAAAAAATTCCCTATGCTTAACTCTCCATCTCTCTGAGCCCTCAGCAATCACTTGTCTGTTTGAATGTGCAGGCTTTGCCTTTCCAGCATGTCATATAAGTGGAATAATACATATAGAGCCCCTTTTCAGATGGCTTTATTCATTTAACAGTATACATTTAAGAAGTATCCATGTTTCTGCAGATTTGATAGGTCATTCTTTTTTATTGCTGGATATTACTCCATTACATGAATGTACCGCTTGTTGAGACATTTGTTTATTGAAGGACATCTTGGTTTCTTACAGTTTTGATGACTATAAATAAAACTGATATAAACATTCAGCTTTTCGAATGGACATGTTTTCAAATTCACTGGGTAAATACCTAGGAGCAAAATGGCTGGATCCTATGGTAAGACTATGTTTAAGTTTGTTAGAAACTGTCTAACTGTCTTCCAAAGTGGCTGTACCCTCTTGCATTCCCACTAGCAATGCAGGAGAGTCCCTGTTTCTCTGAATCCTGGCCAGCAATTGGTAGTCTCAGTTTTCAGTTTTCAGTCATTTTAATAAACATAATGTAGTTATCTCATTGTTATTTACAAATGATGTTGAGCATCTTTCATATGCTTATTTGCCATTTATAGATCTTTGCTTATGTGTCTTTAAGATATTTTGCCCATTTTTAATTTTTTTTTTGTTTTCTTATTGTTTAGTGTTAAGTTATTCATATATGGGGGATAAGTTCTTTATAAGATATGTGTTTTGCAAATATTTTCTCACAGTATGTGGCTACCTTTTTATTCTCTTAACATTGTCTTTCACAGAGCACAGTTTTTTTAAATTTTAATAAAGAACTTTTCTTTTTTTTTATAGATTGTGCTTTCTGTGTTGTATCTAAAAATTATTTATCAAGCTCAAGGCCATATTGATTTTCTTCTAGGAATTTTATAGTTGTATATTATACATTTAAATCTGCAATCCATCTTGAGATAATTGTTAATTTTTTTAAAGATGGATATAAGGTCTGTGTCAACTTTCTTTTCCTTTTTTCTTTTCTGTTCTTTCCTTTTCCTTTTCTTTTTTTTGCATACAGGTATGAAATTGTTCTAACACAATTTTTGCATGTGTTGAAGACTATATTTTCTCCATTGAATTGCCTTTGTGTTTCTCATAATCAGTAGACTATATTTGTCTCAACATAATGTAAACTGTTCATGAAATTAAAAATATTCAATGACATTTTAATGACACGAATATAAAAGGTATAAATTCTACTAAATGCCAACATTATTTGATGATGTAGATTTTTAATGATCCATTATGAAGGACACTGCCATGACCTGTCTCCTGCCTGCTTCTTCAACCTCATCTCTCCATGTTCACTAATTCCAGCCCCTGGCGTCCTTCTATTCCTAAACCACACCAAACTTGCCTTTGCCTTGGGCCTAAACACTGTCCTGTGGGAGACTTTCAATCCAATTTGCCTTTGTGGGCCAGAAAGGCTCTTGAAACTCATGAACTTTCCTTTTCTCTTGGGAAAGAATATAAAATTAATAAATTGTGACTATCAGAAAAGTTATACCAAGATCTGAATGTTCCTTTCCACCAGATACATTAGTCATATTGCAACAAGAGAACAATGTAATGTTTATATAAAATTCCTAGGAGAAGTTTCTCCTCATCTGAAATGATGCTGCCCAATCTTCTAATGTTTCTATTTGGAAAACAGAAAGGGACTTGATTCTTAATGCCTTAAAAGAGGCGAGGAAACCATACCCACCTGCTGATTCCACTCCAGATTGGGGCTGGTTCAGGCCCAGCTCTGAGGCAGTCAGCAGAGCATGCCTGGGGGCTCCTGCAGCTAAGTGGGTGACTTTAGTCTGAGGTCCAGGAGGAAGCAGCCATTTGGTGTAACTCTCCCCAGGGCAGAGAGTTGAAAGCTATCTAAGAGATATCTGAATATTGTCTTGCATGAGGACTAGAGAAAATTCTTTCACTGGTCTCTGTCTCCTGGCATCTTTGAACTTCCATCTCATTTTTTCTTTTAAAGAAGCAAGGACAAGGTTAGCCCAGAAAATGGACTGGTTTTGACCATTATTGTTCACCACATTATTTTTAAAATCCCCCTTCACTTAACCACTGTATTTTATTTTCTTCATGGGTCTTATTACTTTCAGAAATTGTTGTGTTGGTTTTCTGTCTTTCAAACTCCTCCTCCACTCTCTCTTTAGAATGTAAACTCCGTGAGGGCAGGAGCCTTGGTATTGATCTGCACTAAGGTCTGGAATATTGGTTCTAAATGAAGGTTTTTAAGTTATTGAATAATAGATGAATGAATGCATGAATGATGGTAGATTATAAACCAGGCTTTTTAAAATACAGAGCTTGGCACAATTGGGCATGTCAATGTATTAATGAGAAGAATGTATCAAAACAAATACAGAGGCAAAGAAGTAAGACATCTTTCCCAGATGGCATTTATAACATGATGATGATGTTGAGTTTCCTCTCATAGCACAAAACGGAAACCATTACCTAATTCATGCACTTGAACATTTCAGTACTATCTCTCAGAAACCATACCCCTCAAATGGCAGGACAAAGACACAGTAAATAAAATTCAGAATGGTGTCCAATTTTGCATTGTGATAAAGTTAACATGCAATTCTAAATTACATACAAAACACCAGACAGCTCTTAGGCACCTAGCAAGAGAGACCATCTAAGAATGGGGTAGGGTAGAAAGCCAATAATCTAAGCCTTGCATTTGAAATAGCAGGGAATAGGCCCATTAGGGAAATAGCCTGCCCACATTAATGCAGATATTTATGGGTGCCTCTGGGAATTATTGAGTAACATGGAATAGGTGAAACTCTAAAAGACATTTATTTACATTGTACCAAAATAACCAGTAAACTCAGTAGTACAAAAAATTTTCATTGTCAGTTTGCCATGTTGTAGACCAAACAGTCCCCTGTTTTGGTAGAGCTCTGAATCGGGAAAATGTGCCAAACCCTCCGGATTTTCTGTTGTAGGAAACAACTCGGTGAGTGAACCACAGTGAGAGCTGGCCATTCCCCACTCAGACCTAGTTGTAAAAGTGACTGCAATCAAACAGCTAGGGATGCACAGATGACTTCTTGAATACAGTTTTATTTCTTGGCCTTATTAAAAAAAGGATACTATTTTAACAAATTCTATTTCTGAGATTATTATATTTCTGCTATTTTGCTTTTTAGAAGGATATTGTCCTATGAAGCGATTCATTCTCTTTCAGGTACATCTCTTAATTGGCTGCAATATAAAGAGACCTTCCAAATTGTTTTAAGAATCGGTCATTCCTATGGTGTGAATAAGCCCAGACATGATGAAGCTGACTAGGTGAATCAGAAGCCCTTCTCTCTCCACTCCGTATTTATTCCATTTTTACAACAGCTTTTGGCTTAATTGAATACATTATAGTGGAAGACAGGGTCCATTAAACAGCTTCAGAAAAGTGAGAAATATGTTCCTTTTAGGGTTTTTTTTTAAATGAAGCATTATAAAGTAGACTACTTTAAAAATGGCATTCAAATGATTTTTAATTACTACAAATGCATTGAGATGTTAATACACTTTACATAAAAGGCAGGGATACTATTCCATCCATCCTTTTCTGCCACGAATTCCCAACGCTAAGAAAATGATTTCTTTTGATCCACTCTGATAGCATGTAATTAAGGAACAATAAAACATATGGCTCAATTACCACTGCTTCTCATCAAGCATGAATTAATGAATATCAAATTATTATTAATTGTTTTTTCCTGGCTCCTTTTTACAGGACAACAATTATACATTGCTGAATTTTGATAAGCATTTTGTGTTTAAAACCACGGACTAGTCTCTAAGAAGAGCAGATGCTTGAAATCATCATACAGAAGACTAATTCTTTAAATTTATCAACATTTGAAAAATACATGATTATCTTTTTTAATCTCCCTAATTTATGTCAGTTGATTACAACTGCTTTAAACTTCCCCCAAATGACACCCTCTCCTCATTGTTCCATAAGCCTTCCTTCAAGAAGCAGTTGCTATGTACACATAAAATAGTTTATAAGTTCAATTTCTCAATTTTAACAATAGTCTAAGTTCCTCACATATGATTACTGGATTTTCAATTCCTTGAAGAAAAGCTCTTTGAAAGTAAAAGCTATAGCTTTAGAAGCTAAATAATTAAGTTAACCAGTGTGGTATAGAATATAATAAATTGTGATCACTGTAATTGACAAAATCAATGCCAATGAATGATATTTATAGACACGCCACAAAATGATTTCGGTATCACTGATAGTTCATTTTATTTGCATAAGCCATCTGTAAATATAAAGTGCTATGTAATATGAATAGATGTAACATGCTAAAGAACAAGTCTTTTGTAGTCCATAACCATTATTTCCTCATAGATTATTTATATAACCAGATTTTGAAACACATGCAAAAAATTAACAAATTATAATACGTAAAATACATGTCATATAATTTTACCCATCACCCATAAGCCAATGTCTTTCTGTTTTTAAAAATTATATCTGCAATAAAATGAATAATGACACGAAAGTTAAGCTGTTCAGATGTCCTCTCCAGTTCAAAATGATTAACAAACACATATTCAGATATATTTCTAAAGAGCAAACAAAAACTTGCTTTAGAATAATTTGAGGAGCAGAAAGGGGCCTTTGGGACAGTTTTCAATGCCCCTCATATTATAGATAAAAAAGAGAGACCAGAAAGTTCAAATGACTTTCTGAGGTCCATATGACTTTATGTTATTATTGGCCAAACTGTATAAGAAAATTTCTATCAACATTTCTTTTGCACATGAAGGAAACATATCTTGCTTTCTTGACAGTTTGTCAATAATGTCCACAAATCCAAATTCTTAGGCAAACAAAGGTGAGACAATGAGAAATGTGTTTATAATAGAAATCATGATGCACAGCTTAATGGAGCAGGGGTGGACCTGCTTGGGGTGACGATGCTCACAGCCATCAGGAGCATCATTCCTTTGACATTGGTAACTGAAACCACTTGAATTTTTGATGACTGAATCTATCCAGATAACAGATGGTTCCCTTTATGTATATGACCTTTTTGAAGGCAATTATGTTATTTATGCAATAGCAGAATTGTTCATTGTATACAAAAGTCAATCTTCAGAGTAAAAGCTTTTCTAAATCACATATTCTTAAAATAAAATTTTTTAATTCTTTAATGAATGCTTTCATCTTGATTTCCATGTGCCAGAATTATTGAATCCACTTTGCTGAAATTTTAAAAGAAAATAACAGTTAGATATGCAAATTCAGTACAAAAGTAATTCTATAACTAAAATTCTTTAAATAATCATTCATCAAGGGGGTCATGGTAGATTCAGCATTTTACATTTTCTTTCTGCTTCATTCATCACTATGGCTTTGGGTCACACCATAAATTTGAAGGACTGTTGCCTGGTACTCATATTTAGGAGATGTCTGAGAGTTATGTTTTGACAACTTAAATTTACTATAAGAATGCAAAGCTGCCCTGGCTGGTATGGCTCAGTTGGTTAGAGCCTTGTCCAAAAGGTTGCAGGTTCGATTCCTGGTCAGGGCATATACTAGGTTCCAGGTTAGGTCCCAGGTCGAGGGGGGAAGGGGTGGGGGGGGGGGATAAGGGGGGGCGTGTACGGGAGGCAACCAATCAATGTTTCTCTCTCATATCGATGTTTTTCTCTCTCTCTCCCATGCTCTCTCTCTAAGATCAGTAAAAACATATCCTCAGGAGAGGATTTTTAAAAAATGCAATGCCTATGTACACATAGACAGGAAGGAAGGCACAATGACTTCTGAGTCTTTTGGTGGCCACACCTCCTCCTAAGCTATATCATGGATTTCTGGGAGGCTGGAAGTTTTAGAGCCGCTACCATATCATCAAGTCTCTTGATATAATATTGGACCATGAAAAGGCTGCTAAATTAGAAAGAAAGTAGAATATGAGAACTGGCTGGGGAGAGCAGAAAATAAAAGGCAAAGTATGAATATCATTAGGTTTGTTCTTGTTACTGATTCTGCAGCCTGATGAAAAGGGGTTTCTTAATATTTTTCAGAGCATTTTCCACATTTGTCACCAAATTCCATATTTTGGATCCCAGGTAAGAATCACAAATGTTCCCCTTTCATTCACCACTGAAACATCAGGAACCCAGCCGGGCAAGCAATGCTTTGACCAGCTCCCCAATATTATCTTGGTTATTATATCTATTTACTCTGAATTAAAAATAAAATGTTGATACTGGCTTTAAAAAAATGAATCAAGCTTTATAGGACTTTGGTTTCCTAACTTACTGGGCACTGTGCATGTCTTTTAAATAAACTTTTAAAGCTTTCATGATAAATTTACAGAAAATGTGAGCTAAAAATGCAGGTCATTAATGTTTGCTTCTCACATCATTTATGCTAATGAAAAGCCCAAATTATAGTAATGTTGATTTTAAACTGATAAAAATACTTACATGCTATATTTAATATAGAATTTAATATTTAATTATATATAATTAACTTTAAATTTTCCATGAAAAACATTACAAGGCATTTAGCATAATAACCAAATTAGGTAGGAAAGTATATTTCAGTGCAAATGTAAAAGGTAATTCACAGATATGGACTTCAATTTCAATTATTTGAGCAGAAAAGATCTATTTTTGTTTAGAAAAAATGGAAAATGTTCTATAATAAATAATCTCTTTTTTTAGTTGTACCTATGCCGGGTCTGATATCAAAGACAATATAAATGTTGACTGATTTTATAACATAAAACAAAATACTACCATACTATCTACAACTGAATTCTTAACTAAATATAATTAATAAAATGTTTTTTGCTTTATTAAAATCCTTCATTTTCAACAATATGAAATGCTCATTAATATTAGCAAAAGTAACAGTTTCTTACAGAGCTTAACACTTACCCACAACTTTGGAGTAGCAAGGTTCACAGTGTATTGTCCGTTGATAAATCCAAATACTGTCTCCCGCTCTAAGGTTTTCCAAAGGCCGTTGGCATATTTCACACTAAAGGAAAAGGCAATATATAAAGTTTACATTACAAATAAAGTCTAGATTCTTAGTGTAACAGGATAAAAAGCCCTTTCAATTCAGTCAGTACCGTTCTCGATATTAGCACTCAGGTGCAGCCTCATGAGAACCCACAGAGAAGGTGGGAGTGCACTTGTCTATAATCCACACGCAGAACTGTGCATTTCAGGGCATATCTACCATTAAAGTTTCTACTTAACTCACTACAGAGTAGATATAAATTTTCAAAAATTGGTTATGCTAAGCACAAGATCACCAGTTGATATGTTAAACAGAAACACGAAACATAGTTTCTGTTTGCTTATTAAGGAGACCTATGCAAGCCAGAGTTCAGGCATACACACAGGACATTAAGCAAACATGAAGCAAAACAAATTTCTGTTTGTTTCCCTATACCCTTAAGAGGGTATAGGGAAAAGCTTGTTTTGAGTTGTGTTGGTTAGCTTGCTTTAGATCTATGTTCATGAAACAAGTCCACTGTCCATTGGCTGACTTTCAAGCATGAAGCTGTCATTGATTGGTTGGCTCTCAGAGACAAGTTCATTGAAGCAAATTGGCATTGATTAATTCATCTTGTTTAAACCAGTTTACATGGTTCTCTATTATCATGGCTATAGAATAATCCATCTTTTTCTAGGAGTGTGGGAACATTTTTATTCTTAGTAGAATTTTATAATTATGTTGAAAATGAAAATAAATAATCCAAAATACAACAAATGGGAATTATTTGTATTTATCAAAACCAACAACCAGGAGAATTTCCTTGTTTTAAAATTTTTTTCTGCATACTAATTTTAAATAAAGAACTATAATCTTTTTTTACTGAGTGAATTTTAATAACTAAAAGAAAATTCCATTTTCTCACAATTAAACAATTATAAAATTTTCAGAATATATTTTATATAGTATTCTATATAGTATGGCCTAAAGTTAGATTTATTTTTGCTCATAACTAGGCATCATATTTCTGATTGCTATGTATCACTGAAGCTACTTGGAGGAGAAACAATTACAATACAAGTTGTCAGAGTATTGCAGCTACTTGACTGAGTTAGATAATTTCCATCAACTCATAGAATGTCAGCACAAAAAGAACCCATAAAGTCAGGCAAATAGTTCTCAAACTGGCTGCCCATTGGATCTACCAATGCCCAGAAATCATCTCTTAGAGTCTTGATTTAATTAGTACTGGTCCCAAGCATTCTATTTTTCTTCTAACCTCCCAGATGATTTTAATGTGCAGTCATTAGTCTAGTCAGTTTCTTAATTTTTACAGATGACAATACTGAGGCCAAGTTAAGTTAGGTGACTGTCCCAAAGTCACACATCCATAGTTAGTGACAGAGTTAGAAAACTTGAACTCAGATCTTTAGATTCCAGTTGAGTGCTCATCCAGTTACACCAAAAACTAAGATGTTGACCTACTCAATATTATTTTGAGAAATAAAAGCAGTGAAATATGAAAATATAAACTGTGAAGCATTCTACTACATAAGCTTTAATGCTATGATACTGACCACAATTAACTATCGTTAATCGTGCTCTCAAAAGCAGACTGAGTTTCAACTGCTGTTAAGCTTATCATCCTAACTGCTAGCTTTCTTCTCAACAGCTTTCGCACTTCATTATATATTTTATGCAATGCATGATTTATTAAAATGTTGCAAAAACTTTTATAAAGAAAACAAGTGTTTACCTTTTCATAGGTTTAAATCTCTAGGGTAGGAGGAATAAATGTTTCAGTAATCAACTCTAAGCCTAACGCCAAGCCAGTAATTATAAACCTTTGAGGTTAGGCTAAAGAACTCTGAGAAATACTTAAGCAATGAATTATTAATGTGGACGAGAGTGTTTCTGAAAGCTTTAACTTCATCTCATGTATTTCATTACATAATTATTTTTATTCCAGTCATTATGCAATCTTATATTTAGTTAAATACAATAAACATATCCTTACCTTGAAGCAAGTGGAATGGCAGCAAATTTGTAATTCATCTAAAATCATTTTGGTTTTTGTGCCCAAGGGCTTTCGGCAGTAGGTGCACATATCTCTTTCAATGACAGACCTAGAGAGATATTAGCAATGAAGAATACATTTGTCATCACACAAAAGACAGATGTATTCCCCATAAAGTCATGTGGAAATGATGTTAATTTTGTTGATACTTTAGGAAATGGTAAAAATTGAGGAAAGTTTGAGATTTTACTTATTTTAGTGATTGAATTGATTCTTCTAGTTATCTCAAAATAATACCAAAGAATTAACAGAAAGGAAGGTCTCAAATTATTAATTCATTAGCAATCAAAATGCATCTGGACAGGGCAAAGATAATTACAGTTTCCTAACTGAACTAGTTCATAAGTGCCCCTTGAATCCTCAAAGAGGATTTTGAATTATTAATTTATATATATCATAGAAAAATTATACTATAGATTAATATAAAATTTTAACTCTCAAAACATTCAATAGGACAAAATAGAACTTCATTCAAGAGTGTGTTGGTAAATTAATAAATGATAGGTCCTTAGTACCCTAGGGTCTAGGGGTCTAGTCATCAAAATGCTCTCCTATGACACTACGCTTGGTATCATTAAAAGACAGAATACTGGGCTACATTCTATGACAAAATTTATATTCTCAAATATGATATAACACCCCTTCACACACAAATTTTATGAAGAAAAAAGAGTTTTATTATTTACTTTGGAAAAATAATGTTTAATAATAAATGAACTGTACATATTTAATCAGCAAGTCCAAAAAGACCTTGGGTCACAGCAGAGCCTTAAGAAAAGCCAATAATTATGTGATGCATTTCCTTTTGGAAGGTCTCAGGACTGCCTTAAATAGCACCTTGAGGACTTCACTAGTTTCAGGGTTGTTGGCATGCAGGCCTGAAATTTTCAGAGCTGGTAAATAATGGAGTGGTGAAATAAAAACAGCCAATAATTATATAGTGCTAATATGCTTAATAGGTACAGTACATTTTCCAGCACTTTGCTTATTTAAACTCAGTTATTCTTCACATCTCTGAGAAGCAGATGCTATTCTTTTTATCATCATTTTACAGAAGAGTAAACTGAGGCACAGAGGGTGCCTACCAGATAGTGAGTGAGTAGCAGAGGTAGGGTTTGAGCAAGGCTGCATGGCCCCAGGGTCCCTGTGCTACCTTTGGGCCTGCCCATGAGGACTGCTGGGCTCACATTGTTGACATGAATGAGTCATACCCAAGAGCCAGGATGATCCTGTCATCTAGCCCAGGACTAGAAGCAGAGAGGAGGGAAATGAAAGGGAGGAGGAGGTGGAGAGGAAAGGGATTGGAGTAGATAAGGTTGTCTGGCTTTACACGTTCAGCCAGTCAAGTAACCTCTTCCTAACCCTTATGTATAGAAATAACAACTTCCTCTTGCATCTCACTCTATAGCTACTTGCTTATATAATCCTCGCAAATATTTTCCTATGGACTCTACACATATGTACACACACTTCATGTCCCATGCAAGCCCTTCAAGAGTAGAAGACAGGCACACTCTATCATTCACCCCTTCCAGAGGCACTGAGCTAGGAGCTGGGAATATAAAGAAGAGTGAGACAGTCTCTTCCAACCAGAAGCTTCTTGTCCACTGGGGTAGCCAGGTGTGTGACTAGATGATGGCAGCATATTATAGACGTGTGGAAAGAGTTCAGAGAGAACAGCCAAGGGAGCAGCTAATCCCAGGTGACAGCAGGAAAGGCTTGTGGAAAAGTGTCATGTGACTTACAGCTTGAAAAAGAAGGAGCCCTCTAGGTGTGCTCAGTGAGGTGGGGAGGGGCATGATGGGGGATTCGAAGCAGAGTGACCAGGCTGTACCAAAGTGCTACTCAATGAGGGTGTCTGAAGTGATTGAACAGTAGTCAATATGCAGGAGCAGGTTCTGAAGGCCATAAATTATGTGCAGAGGAGTTTGTCTTAATCCTGTGAAGTGGGAAGCCGCTTTAAGTGGGATTAGTGTGCTTCGATAAGAACTGTGGGGACATGGCTCATGTCACACAATAATCAACATAAAAAGTTGCTGGACTGACTGGTCTTAATAGAAAATTGACTTCTGCTTTCATGACTAAGAAAAATCTCAAGGGCCACTTGAGAACCAGGACTGACATTCTTCATATTAAGAGCAATACTTCTATGAAGAATATTTTCCTTCTTTAAGTTAACACTAAAGATATGATCCCAGGGAAAGCTCCAGTGTTGGTATTGTCCTTATTAAAATCACACTGTTAGTCAAAGGTGTTTTCTAAGCATGTGAGGGATCCAGCTCTGGTATTTGGTCACCTAGGCAGTATCTATATCTCACGCTTGTGTAGATGACTTCACCCCTCAAAGAGCAATGACTTTAAGTTAAGACACTGAGAGCATTAGTAATGGGCAAAATTTTATAAAAGTGACAGAGGGGATATAATATCTGTTTTGTTGTTAATCCTCACCCAAGGATATTTTTCCATTGATTTTTAGAGAGAGTGGAAGGGAGGGGGAGAGACAGAGAGAGAAACACCTATGTGAGAGAGATACATCAATTGGTTGCCTCCCACAAGCTTCCCGACCAGGGCTGGGCATTGAGCCGTCAACTGAGGTCCGTGCCCTTGACTGGAACTGAACTCAGGACCCTTCGGTTCACGGGCCAACAACACTCTACCTACTGAACCAAACTGGCTAGGGCAGGAGATACAATTTTGATGCCTGGTCCATCCATATTTCCCTTAGCAAAGAGAACATAGGTTCATGTTTTTCAGAAAACATTTATTGCCCTTGCCAGTTTGGCTCAGTGGATAGAGCGCTGGCCTGCGGAACGAAAGGTCCTGGGTTCAAATCTGGTCAAGGGTATGTACCTTGGTTGTAGGCTCCTCCCCGGCCCCAGTCAGGGCTCCTGCAAGAGGCAGCCAATAGATGTGTTTCTCTCATATGGACGTTTCTCTCTGTTTTTCCCTCTCTCTTCCACTCTCCCTAAAAATCAATGGAAAAATATCCTCGGGTGAGGATTAACAAAACAAAACAAAACAGAAAACATTTATTGAGTAACCGGTTGTGCCAAGCAACTCATTATGAATCGAGGTTGTGCGTAAAAATTAGATATGTCTTTACCCACAACGAGCCTTATTCCCGGGCTCTTCTATAGAGAAACACTGTCAGTAGAACATTGGACATTTGCATTACAGCTGGTTTCTAGTGGTCAGGATATAATGCTAATTATTTATTTTCATTTCTTCCACTGGCAATCTGCTGGCCACACTCTCATGAGTGTCATCTATGTGCCCCACTGAGCATTAAATGTTAAAAGGTGATCACTAACAGCAAAAGCCTGGGGTCGGTTTACCAGCACAAAATTGATACTCATTGTAATCTCTCCTGGGAACGGGGTGTGGGCCCAGAGTGGGTCATGCAGCATATCCACACAGCTGTTTGTAAGGTGAGATGGCTTTAGAAAACCGCGGCGAGGGAGGGCTGAGGGCACAGTCTAGTGATGCAATGAGACCTAGACTCTCATAATGTGGTGGTACTGGGGCTCCTGGGAATCAGCAAAGCAGAGGGGCTGTCCTATGGGCAGCTGTAAGGCACAGAAGCTCTATTGGAATAAAATGCATGAGCAGCAGCCCAGAAGCCAAGGAACAAATTCATGGGTGCAGAGGTTGTAGTACTTCACACACAGGCTGGGGCCAAAGTAGTTTCACAGATGTTCGTATGGGAAATAATACAAATATTAATAAGTAATAATATAAGAATAAATTCTGTTTCACATACTCAAAACTGTCACCTACCTTGGCCCCACCCTGTATATAACAATCACCATCAGGAGCACCGTCTCCAAGTACAACAAACAACAAGAATGTATTAGTATGTGTATAGATGTGTGTGCATAGAATTTTATGTATGGAAATATAGACATACTCACCTATCTGAAGTTGAATAAACAGTCTGTATGTATTTTCCAGAAATGTTCTCCTGGTAGCCATCCTTTGGTGATTTACTACAAACGACACATATGGACATGTGAGAACTGGGCTATTTCCCTAGTGTTAATGTATATACCTGTAGACAGGTGAGAAAGCGCACACACCTCCTCATGCAGCCTTATTATTATATCCTTGGTGATGTTACAAGCCAGGATAATATACTAATAGCCTTTTTTTCAGTCTGGAGAAATACTGATACACAGCCATCTCCAAGTTCACACAGATAATGAGGCAAGAGGGCACAGCAAAATATGTCATTTTCCATGAAATGTATGCTTGCACCTCCCTCATTTATTGACCATAAGAAAGGTACCTGTAGTCTAACATAAAGGAAACGCACAGAGTGAGAGCCAGCGCAAGCACAGGGACATGCACATCGCTCACACGGAGAACTAGAGACCCTTCAACTTTTACACAAGCTATAGAAGATTTTATTTTTACTTGAGTACATCCAATAAAGATTAGTTTAGTGTGAAAGCAAAAATAAAAAAGTGCATAATTTTTAAAAGTCCTCCATGTTTCATTTCTTAGGTGGCTCCAGTTTGTAAACGTCACTGTTTCCTGGAGACAAATGAAATCTGTAATGCACCAACCAACTGGCTGCTCATAATCGCTTGCCAGGTACATATGTTACCTGGGCATATATTAGGAATGGAAGCAGTATGCTCCCAGTGTGAGCAATACACCACTGCTCTCCCTTGGGATTTTTTTAATGAGAAAACTCTCTTTCCCTCCCAATTGCCCGTAGGCAGACTACTGTCAGAAATAGACTCTATATTATGGAACACATAACCCACGATGCTAAATAGGAGTTTGCACATATTTTTGCATGACACGTCTAACATTACTCCCATTTTAATGATGGGGAAACTGAGACTTGAAGTGGTTAAGCAGCTTTGCCGAGGCACACGGTCAGTAAATGACAAAGAGTCAATCCCAAGTCTGATTCCAGGGCCTCGGCACTGCACTTCACCATCAGTGTAGACTTTAGGGAGAATTGGATTCAGCGGAAAAATCAAATTTGGGGGCTGCATTTTATAAGGTAAATTATGTGTGGGGTTTAGAAACTTTTTTGGATGGTTGTTCACCTTCTGACACTGAATGGACTGAATTTCCTTGAGTCTCCTCCCCTCAGAAGCCCTCCCAGATGCTCTGCTCTTTGCTTTCTTTGAAATGGGCTCTGATTAACACATGTCACCTATATCTGCATTTGCATGCCCCGCCGTCACATTACCCCACAATCAGACTAACTCTTGTTTTTATTCTCCTTGAAAATCAAATGCACACTTCCCTGGCCTTGGTTGATGTTTTCCTCACATCCATCACACAACCAGCAGATTTTGTGGGACAACAAATCCCTGGAATTTGGGCCAGAGTATATCTACCAAAAGGTATACCCCTTATTTCAGATAAGTGGCAAACAACAGTGGATACTACCATTTAATTAAAGTGCAAGTCCAAATTAGCATAGACATTCTTGTGTGATTTTATAAAGCTAATTATACATATATAGTCATGTTCTCACATAAACATATATGAAAAATTTCAAATGGCCATCCTGTTATGTATGCATGTGCTATATTAAATTATTAGTCTACCGAATGACTTTTTATGATTATTTGATAACTACTTAATATTGGAAACATCATGAAGAATTTTATACCTAGAATCCAATGTACTCTTAAATGGTCTTCTCTTTGAAAAAAATATATAAGTACACTTTAAAATAATATCATTTCTTCTTAAACATAGATCATTTCAAAATTGTAAGTATAGAGAAATATTTTAAATAAATTTCCAGCACCTGTTCTCCACATATGTTCTCGTGTACACAACAGTATCCTTTGGTCCTGCAGGCCCGGTGTCAGCATTGGAACTGGGGAAAAACATTGAGTTTATATTTAAAGTTTATGTACAAGAATAATAAAAAATAACAAGGCTATTATTCAATCCAATGCAAAAAAATACTATATTACTTCTAAGCTATTACCTTTGAAATATAAACATTAAAGTGGTATTAATTTATTTCTGCAAAATTTCCTATGTCTCCCATTTTATTCCTGCCTTCCACTGGCTTGGCCTACTTCTAGAATACTAATATGAAAATTGGTCACTCACTAAATCTGCTGTAGAGCATGAAGATTATTTTGAGTATTTGTGCACTATGTTTTAGTGTCTTTAATGGGACATTTATTTTCCCTGATGTCCCATTCATATTTCCAAACCATACTTGTCCCCCCAAATCTCAAACAAAAATGGACCTTAACTAAACATAACATCTGACTTTAATGAAACTTTTAAATCTAGCTAAAGAATGTCAATGCCAATGTCACAATCATGCTTTAAATAAAATAACAACAACAAAAAACACACCATACTGTAGACTTTTTAGAGAAAAGTTACATTTTACACCTTCTTATCCATATGTCCCAATTTACCAAGGACCACGTTGCTAACTCAACACCTTTGTGTAAGCCTGTTTAGCCACTAATAAAATGAGAAATTTCTGCA